AGCAAGAGAGGCAAAATGATTCGAGAATAGGTTACAGTACAACATGAGATCGCACGGTACATATACATATCCGAAGCGTGGGAAGAAGGGCTATGGCGTACAACAACAGTGTGGTGACCATGAAGCGATACAAGTACATAAATGCGACGTCGAGCATGTGTAGCAACTTCCTACTGTGAAACACCCGAGGAGTCCCCTTTCCAAACCACCTTCTCAGCTAGACCCATCAAAGTCTCCGACCATTCCGCCCGCGCATCCTTCGGGTATGTGCACTCCGTGATCGTGAGAAGTCGCAGTCTCGATCGGGGTGTAGAGATTGAGTCGAGGCGACGAGACAGCTTATCGACAAGGACGTCGAGAGGCAAGCATTCCGGACCGATGTTCGGACCCAGCGTTAGCGTGCTAAGAGCCGGGAGCGGGAGACCAACGGGACCGAGGTTGGGCTGGTCGGGATGGTCGGGGTGTGATGGGATCTCGCTCAGCACCTCTAGTACTCGAGAGAATACTACGCGAGCAGACCGTTTGTCCGAGGTGGACCTCAACTTCAGATGCTTTATCTGCGGCATGATGTTAAGAAAGCTTTTCCATCCGCCCGCGAAGGTATCAGCTGCCGCTTTGTCGGTGATGATGAGCTCCATCACGTCCTGGAGACACTCCTTCACATGGGCTGTTGATAAGCTCCGAAGGCCAAGTCCAGTAGAGATCGTGACAGAGCCGCCTGAATCAGGCGCGTCTGGTAGTTTCTCCCAGAACAAGGTCAAAGCACCGCGCTCTTCGAACCGCATCGACTGCACTTGCCCAACTCTCCATGGCGCTGACATCATCGACTTGACGATCGCGAAGTCTTCTGCCGTGTAGAGCCCTCCAGGCCGGATATCGATGCTAGCATTGCTAGCAGGACGTATAAGGCGCATGATCTTGATCAAGTCATGGCCTGTGAAGGGGGCCGCTATCGACAGCCTCTGCAAATGCTTGAGAACGACTACACTTCGGCCTTGAAGCATCGCGTCTTTATAAGCCACGTTGTAAACCGTCTTGACACTAGCGGTCTCCAGTCGAGAGCACGATGAGAGGATGTTCAACATCGCTGTGACGTCGAACGAATCCCTCGGAGGGTGATCGAGCGTGAGATGAACGAGGTTGGGAGCATCGAAGTCAAGGAGCAACCCTGTCAACTCTATACGGCGTAGAGATGGTGCATAGACTGTATACGTCTCTGGCTGAGAGTATGATGCGGGAATGTAGGCGCAGCGCAGGGTCTCCAACGTCCGGAGCTTACGGCTCGACCCAGCAATCATCGATTTCAGATGCGATCTGGCGGTCTTCGAGTTGAATGTCCATGAGATAGACCTGATGTGCGATGTGGGTAGCCTGAGCAGCGATTGCAAGCGCTCTTTCGTCAGAGCAGCTCGGATCGTAAGATCTAAAGCGCGCATGCCGCTCGCGCGGCGAATGAACTCGGGAATGGCCTTGGGAAGGAGACCGATTGATCGCGCCCAAAGGGAGGGATCACCGATAATGTTCTCTCGCCATGCTTTACTGACGTGCGTGAGGCTTATCCAACCGAGTGTGGGTCGTCGTTTCATACGGGCAAGGGTAGGATAGACTACGGCGTCCTCATCGTCCCAGATGACACCTGAGGCATCGCGTTCGCCTTTCGGGGGGAATGGCGGCTCAAGCTCCACCACATAAAGCACAATCATCCTGAATAGTTCCTGAGGTAATCGCGAGACAGGTCGGGTCGCATTGACGGCTGTCCGAAACTTGGAAGCCACGAGGCCAAGTCGGGTCAGTGCATCCGCATCCTGAGCGAGTTGGGCAGCCAGCCGGGGATGATGTTCAGGAAGGTTTAGCATCAGCCTAAGGCGCGCGAGGTGCTCATCCACAAGCTTTTCGGTTCTTCGTATATCAAGTGGATCATCGTGGTCGTCCTGTCGGCGTCAACATCAAGGAGTATTCACTGGTCAGCATGGAGAATGCGATCGTTGGCGGGCCGATATGACATACCATGTTCATGGTCCTCAATCTCGATCGTCTAGCACTATGTGCAGTCTCGGGAGCCTGCATCTCCTCTGTCTCAATGCGAAGTATAGTCGCAGGCGATGGTGGTTCGCTATGCGTTGCGGGCACGCTGGGACACACCGCTGCCGCACCGTGCGAATCCGCGCCACGCGGAACGTTAGCCCTCTGTCCCCATTGGGCAACTTGCTTCCTACCACGACCTTCGCGACACACACCCACGATTATAGACGAGTGCTCTCATTACCGAAAGTGGCTGTGACACTCTTGCATCAGCCTACTCTGCTTGCAATCTTCAACCCGCTCCAGTGGTGCCCGAGCTACCTGCAATCCTCATGACAGACTACCAAGACTATCAAATCTGGGCGGCATATCTGAACGAAGCCATAGGCTCTTCTCGCGACCTTCTCCATAGACCAGCTGACTGGAATCCTGGTCTGCAAGAACTGTGGTATCACCCAGATGCCAAAGAGCTAGCGACGGCCGGCACTTCGGAACGAATACAACATGGTTACCTTCAACGACTTACTGCCCATTCGCCAGCCTTGCGAGGGCCAGAACCAAACCGAAGGTCATTGTATCCTGTCGAATTTTTGGGATCCCTGGGAACAAAAGTGTACGAGAATCTGTCTCTGCACAACGTGAGGGCTACAAACTGTCACATTTCGTTCGATTTGGGGCGGTTAGAACTCAAGGTCAAATCATCATACTCCTGCGTTGGAAACCCTCTAACGTCAGTCTCTAAGGTGTCTTTCCTATCACCAAACACAGCTGTCCAACTTTACTGGCCAGATGCTTGGTTAGCCATTGCTGATACCGCACGGTACAAGTATGGCATCATGCCCGAACAACGAGTGCGTGAACGTATATGACATTGTAGCTTGTGGTCACTTAAGCAAATTTGGGAATAGATGTTGACATTCTCAGTTGCTCTTGCGTTGGACTTCGGCGAGTTTGTGATATCTATCAACGGGCCAGACGACATGCTCTTTACGGTGCGTCATCTGCGGCATTGCTTCGTCACGCATCCCGCTTATTGTCTTCAGGTAGATTGGATCCCGCATGTCAAATCTGAAGCCATGGACATGAGCCGCTCTTCAGTCACCAATATGCTCGAAGCTTGGCCGAGTTACATGCAGAACGTCGTCAAGTGGCTTGAACACGTGTATCCCGCCATGACCCCAGAACAAAAGGATATGGATATTTCGAGTTTCATGTCTCAAAACTCTGACGAACAACATTTATTCGCGGGGATCAAGCAGCATTCCCGGTCAGAAGTCCTGTATCGAGCGGGTACGATCTTGATCTGAACCGCCTTCGCAACTTAACTGGACATGACCCGCAGGCCTGAGTCCTGAATTGACTCTCAGAGAAGTGGTTGAGGCACGTAGCCGCCTCTATCGACTTATTCTTGGCGCGTGGCAATATAAGTATCTTGTGCTTCATCATACGTGGTGAGCCACGTCGTTGCCCGCCGCATAAACGGTTCGCATGCTGATGTCACAGTGAATAGGCCCACCTTCATCAAACCCACGGTTTATCATAGAGCAATCGCCCCGCTCTTCCACCAACGTCTGAAATACACGGATAGTTCGTTGCACGCTCATGGGAAGAGTCCCATCACGCTCTCTACGCGTTTAGCCGAACAGTTACAGAAGATCAATGACGAGTCGGAAGAACTTGTGAGCCTTGTCATCAAAAGCTACTTAATCTGTATCAACGATGAGATCTCATCGAAGTATGGCAGGCATCAGACGGACGTCGCCTCTCCTTTGATGCGTTTGAGCCCTCACTCCTCGAGGACGCTTTGAAGCATGCCCCCGAGTTCTGCCCCGCTATCTTTGGCCAGTCATTCTGGAACAGCCATAAGGGCGAGATAGATAAGCTTCCATGGGACGGGAATCCTCTTGTCGAAAAAGATACTCGTGAAGGTAGAATCTCTGTCATATTGTTGCCGTCCTTTGTGGTTGATTCAGTTCGATGCGCATAGGGTCTTTCCTCTCGAGTGTGAACCTAATATGTACAGAGTCTTGGACGCGGCTTCTTCTTCCGCAGAAGTATCGTCGCTCACGCGCTGTCAAGGCTTACGTGTACGCTCAAGGTACACCTAACGAGATCTGGACGCCCATGTAAGTAAGATTTGAAATCATACACCATCCACAATACTCACGTAATCTAGAAAACCTTGGAGAACACCGAACACGGAAGTCATCACCTCACCTCAATCTCATGGAGATATCTCGTCTACACAAGATATATACATGCCAGGCGTACTGGAGTCTCCTGGGGTAGCTGTTGCGGTTCGATCCAAATCTGGGAAATCGCGCTTGTAAGTCCAGTTTAATTTCTGCACAGTGCTGTGAGATTCTCACGGCCTATCATAGTACCTATCCGTCGCGCGGCGTGGCAACAGACGACAGCCCTGCGACATACCAGATGATGCACGTGAATCTGGTCAAGACCCTAGCGCGTATAACAGAGAACAAGAACCACATTGCACGTCGAGGCACGATTGCGATGAGCGAGGAAGAAAAGGCTCAAAGAGCGCGCGCTTACAAGGCTTTCGACGAAATGTGGCTTGATCGCTTTGGATACGTCCCGACATCGACCAAGAGTTCTACTGGCACCGAAGGTACTACAAAGCAAGAAAGCGGGCTCAAACGACCCCGCAAGCGTCGGCAGGTGGACCTGGTTCTAGCAGATGTTCAAGAAGAGGACAAACCCCAGGCGCGAAAGAGGGCAAGGGTAGAGAACGGCATCAGTATGCGAGTCGATAAGGAAAAGGAGTGGTGGGAGGAGCCATACTATGGCTAGTAGTACCTATCTCTGCGACGTATGTTTTTATCGTACACCGGCTTCATACTCACTTAAGGCATCTGCATCTTCGATCTGTCTGCCTAGGGACAGAAGGTGTCTGATATGATCCCCCCATACGCGCCGCTGGGAAAGCGACGGTAATGTGCAAAGCTATGTGAGCGGCAAAACCTCCGCGATGGATTCCTAATGTAAGCGGGTAACTTCCCGCTAGAGCAAGCGCTCGGTCGCGATCTATCCACTTGAATGCCGCTTCCACCGTTCTGATCGCACAGTTCAGAACAGAGGAACAACCATCATCTGCACTTCACAACTACCACCGGCTACAGGTGCATTCACCAACTCCTAACCCCAAACAACCGCAAGATTGAGGCTATAGCTCGAGCGACGTAGTACTTGGACTGTAGATCGGTGTACGAGCACACGGCGATGCAACAAATTCAAGATAGCTTGACTGTCATGTTGCTAGTGCAACGTGTAGATCGACGGACGTACGTGGATTTTCGGCACCAGATCTAGCCATCGGACTTTAGAGCTACTATTCTCGCGCAGCTACAAGCAATATGGCGTTTGAGCGCATGAGTCGATGGAGTCATCGTGGATGACCGATGACCACTTGTGCTTTCGCAATACCGCGCACGAGTACTCAATGGTTCAGTCCTGTATATATGCTCTGGGGAACGATCCATTCACCTCAAGCATCCCCTTCTCCGCCTCAGATCAGCTTGAACGACATGTCCACCAGCAACGACGTACACCCCTTCTCTCCTTTGCCCCCTCCGCCCACCGCACTCGGCCGCTATCGCATCCTCAGCCCTCTCGCAGGAGTGCGCGTATCTCCTATAGCTTTGGGTGCTGGTTCGATTGGCGATCAATGGGCAAAATGGGCGGGCGCCATGGACAAAGAGGGCAGCTTCAAGCTTCTTGATGCGTACTATAACGCGGGTGGTAACTTCATCGACACTGCGAGCAACTAGTACGTCAGGTTCTTCCTCTGCAAGGCGCATGGGGTGACGGTTGGCTCAGTCAGGAGGAAACATCGGAGAAGTTCATCGGCGAGTGGATGGAGGCTCGTGGTAACCGCGACGAGCTGGTGATCGCAACCAAGGTACGCTAATCACGCCCAAGATCGTAGTGCCAGTCTCTGACCTTGCACACAGTATACATCGCAATTCAAGCGTACGGACGATTCTGTCAAGATCAAGATCAACTACGGCGGAAACGCGTCGAAGAACCTGCATATCTCGGTTGAGCAGTCACTCAAGAAGTTGCGGACGTCCTACATCGACATTCTGTACATCCATTACTGGGATTACACAAGCAGGTACGAGCCTCTAACCTATATCGCAGTGGTATCATATGCTGAGACTCGCGCAGTGTTGAGGAGGTCATGAACGCCCTTCACAATCTCGTCGCCGCTGGGAAGGTTCTCTACCTCGGTATCTCGGACGCGCCGGCGTGGGTCGTCGCAGACGCAAACCGTTACGCCAAGGAGAAGGGGAAGACACCATTCTCCATCTACCAAGGCCGCTGGAACGTCCTCGCGCGCGACTTCGAGCGCGAGATCATCCCCATGGCACGCAAGCTGGGTCTCGCGCTGGCGCCGTGGGAGGTAGTGGGTGGCGGCAAGATTCGCACGGACGCCGAGGAAGAGGCTCGCCGCACGACTGGCGAGAAAGGTCGTGATCTCTTTGGCACCGGCTGGGAGCGCAACGAGAACGAGAAGAAGATGGCGAAAGTACTCGAGAAGATCGCCGGCGAGATCGGCGCCAAGAGCATTCGTGCAGGTTCGTCTTGACTTCTCCGTCGCCTGAGTCCTTCCGGTGGTGTTGATATTGTCTTCAGTGGCCGTCGCCTACGTTCTCCAGAAGACGCCGTATGTCTTCCCCATCATCGGTGGCCGCAAGGTCGAGCATTTCCTCGAGAACCTCGAGGCGCTCGAGATAGTCCTTACGCCGGAGCATTACAAAGAGCTCGAGAGCGTCATTCCCTTTGACTTCGGGTTCCCATATGTGCCCTTCGTATGTCTCAATTGTTGAATCAGCTATGTCCAATCGCTGATGTCAATTCACAGGGTCGCGAAGAGGATGCCGCAGCGAACCCGATCACGGCTATCAGTGGCACAACCGACCCCTGGCCTCTGCAGCAGGTCATTGTCCCGAAGAAGAACTGAAAGTCGACCTCGTTGGTCAAGAAGAATGTACCCGGGGCGTTTGTCCAGTCTCTGCATATTGATCTGTCATCGCCATCGGGTCCAACCCACACGTGTACTATAATCATCCCGTTGGAACTATGATCTATACATCATCTACTTGTATCAAGCTCGACGTACCCACTGGATCATACGCTATGCATGAGTTCTTTGGTGAGGGCCAAGTGGCGGCCTTGAACTTGGCTTGCACCGCTTGAGCCGTCTAGCATCGACCAGAAAATATGGTACGCGGACTAATTCGAGTCCGGCATAGTGGCGTCGCTCTCACACAATGAGTAAACAGCGATTGAGCATACATTTTGGCGGACTCTATAGATACACATAAGTATGTACAGACGAAGGGGATGTAGATGCGGTGTGTGGCGACAAGATGAAGGTGTGATGAATAAAGATTGGGGCAATGCTATGCGGGCGGCGGGTGGGTTGGGCGGGTAAGGGTGTGGGGAAAAGTAAGAAGAGCTGTTGCTCGATGGGTTCCGTGATTTCATTTCGACTATTCGGGGAAAAGGTTCGTTGTGTAGACCAAGAAGTGTGCGTTTGTTCGATGCATTTGTTCGTGTGAGAGCGGGACGTTTGTGTACAAGAAGCGCGGGGAGCGGGAGAAGGCCGAGTGTTGAGTGGCACAGAAGACAGGGAAGCGACGGGTGGCGAAGCGCTCAGATAGCCACAGGTTCGGTCACGAGCCCTTCGCGCAGCTGCACGCCACGGAGTACATCGCGCGCGACATCTAACCATACTTCGACGCGCTCGGCTGCGTCAAGTGCCGTCTCGATACGCTCTTCAACCTTCCACCAGACAAGCTTCTCAAGCTGAGCGGCGTCGTCGATCTCAGGTCCCTGTGAATGCGTAGGACTCATAGGCGGAGGCAGCTCATGCGGCGTCCCAAGATCGCTCGGCGTAGCAGGCATTGACGTCGCACGTGACGAGTTCTGAGAGTCGATTTTCAGACCGAGCGAGCCAGATGTCGGAGCTTGATCCCACGCCATAAGCGCCTGCAGACCAGCATCGACGCGCCGCGCGAGTCTGTGCTGTCGCAGATCTGCCGCACGGCGCTCGATTGCCTTGCCCAAGAGGCGTTCGGCACGCTTAGCTCCGCGTCGAGCGCCAGCCAGTAGCGTCTGTGCATCCGCGACGGCTTCGTCCATTCGCGCAAGATCACGCTGAACGGCGCCAAGCGCCCGTTTCGGTTGAGAGATGGGGTTCGATGAACTTGCGGCATCCTCCTCCGCCGGCATCTCGCACAACGTGCTCAAAGAGGTCCGCATGGGCGGCTCCTCGGACTTGAGCGCTTTGAGGTTAGTTGTCGCCGGTGCGGGGCGCTCGGGTATGAGCTTTTTCTTGAGCCAGGCCTTGAGGCGCTTGCCCGTGTTGTCCTTGTCTTTGTCTGTCACGGGTTGCACGGCGATGGAAGGAGGTGTATGCGGCCTGGCACTGGCAATGGTGTCGGCACGTACTCGGCGCACGCCGGGAGTAGGGGAATCTCTCGTGCCAGGTGGACTTGGCGAATATGACATGGAAGGAACAGGCGAAGCCGATAGAGCCGTCAACGAAGGCGACGGCGTGGAGTCTTGCCGACCGCGCTGTGCGATATCGCTCATACTTTTGTAACTTTTGAGCCGGCTGTATGGTGTCGTCGGTCGAGCGCCGTCCCACTCGAGTTCAGGTGGCAGTGAAGGGAAGGCCAATGACGCCTCACCAGTCGATGAAGCTTCGGAAACGGCGGTACGTGCCGAGTCGGCAGAGAACGTAGTCCCGCTACGTGCACGCCCAGCAAACTCGGGTTCTGTGGCAGGAGCCCTGAGTTTTTCCCTGTCATCGAGGCTCTGCGCCAAGGCATCGAGAAGAGCGTCTGTCTCCGTCCAGGGTGTGTTTGTACGCGCAAGCCGCGCGGCCACATCTTCAGCGCGAGTGCGGAAGTGGCCAAGTGAGGCGATAGCTTGCGTCTGAGACTCTCGTAGGTGTGCTTCGATGTGGTCCAGGTCTGCTGTTTGGGACTCGTCTGCCAGCGCCAGTTGATCTGCTACCCAGCGCAGGCCCTGCATCGCGCGCTCGAATGCATCGGCGGCCGACTCAGGTGCAGACTCCGTCGAGCCGGGACCGAGAACGGGCGAGGGGAGAACGGTAGAGGCTGCGACAGAAGGTGCCACAGATAGGATGGAATGCGAAGACGCGCGCTGGCGCAGTCGAAGAGGCGTGACGGTGAGATGGGACGCAGCCGAGGTTGGCCGGTTGGCTTCGTCGCGCGCGCCGAAAAGGTAGCGAAATTCCGGCTTTGCCACTTCCAACGCCGTCAATCTATCACAACTCAGTCCCTGGGCCTTTGCGGAGAAGAAGCACGCGAAGGCCGCTCACCCTCGAATGTTGCGCAGCTCGCAGACCGTGCGGTCGACGTCACAGTCGAGAAGCGCCCGTAGAACTTCGGCGCTGTCACCATGCTCTGCGGCGATATGTATGCAGGTCTCCCGGCTCGCGGAACGTTTTGCAAGCGGGGCGCCGAGGTCACGAACAAGGTGCACGACGAAGTCGTACAGCTGCTGGTTTGCCTGGGCATCACGAAGGGCGTCCGGCCCGCGGCGTTTGCGAGCGAGGCAGTGCAAGGGCGTACATTCGCCTTGATTTGAGGACAAGTTGACATCTGCGCCAGCAAGGAAGAGCGCGTCAAGAACGGCAGCCGAGGGCTTCTTGACAGACGCGCAGTAGTGGACGGCAGACCACTCGTCCTTATCCGCGCGATTTACAAGTGCCTGTGTTGTGGCGTTGGGTGCGGATGGAAAGAGTAGGCTGACGAGTGAAGGGACATCGGAAGCGATGACAGCTTTTACAACATTGGTAGTGGTCGTGGCGAGGCGGGCGTCGTCAGTGGGCGTGTCGTGATCTTTCGAGGGTGGTGGAGGAGGTACATCGGACGGATTTGATAGAAGAGCTGGTGGGAGCGCTTCCGGAGAGAAAGCCAGTTTCCGTGGGTTGGCGGCCTGTGGCGCAACAAATGCATCAACATCCATTTCAAACCGAGCGCGGGCGCTCAAGCATAACGTACCAAGAATTCACGCGTGCGAGCGCCGCGTAGAGCATCCTCGCATGCACGTAGAACTTGCGTATGGGGCAGAGCGTACTGCACTGCGGAGATGAGATTCACATCGCGCGCGTCGGGGAGGGCGCCGTGAGCGAGCTGTTCGGATTAGGAAAGTTCGCTGTCAGCACCCGATTCCGGCGCCAAAGTCAACATACGACTGACCAGTTCGTCTACTACTTCCGAACGTGCGTCGCGTGCAGCGTCTATTCCGGGTCCAGTCTCAGTATACAACCCGGAAGCGAAGAGAAGTTCATCACGAACACATGAGCGGTGTGGCGGAATGGCCGTCCCTGGCGTCGACAGCGACGGTGCCGGCGCCCAGTTCGAGGCATGCCTTCACGACTTGGGTAGCGTTGCTCCAGGCGGCAATTCCCAGGGGCGTCACGTCGCGCATGTCGGCCTGGGGCGCGTTGAGGGTGTAGAGCGTCACGTTCGGGTGCGAAACGATCAGGCGCACAAGGCCCAGGCGCGCGTGCATCTCGTCCGCGTCGACGGTCTCCCAACTGGTCAACAGTGTCTCAGTGTTGGGAAAGGGTCCATCATATTGTTTGACACGTACTTTGGGCCTACGAGCGCGCAGCCGAGCGAGGTGCGCCCATTGGCGTCCGTCGCGTTCACATCAGCGCCCGACGCGAGCGCTGCCCGCGCCGCGGCCTCGTCCCCCCGGACCAGTGCGGACAGAAACGCGTCGTTGGCAGCGTCACCAGCTGGAGTAGATGATGAAGCAGTGGTCATGTACGTCTAAGAATTCAACAAGCAGCCCAGATGGAAATAGAGCACAGGGTAGGGCAGAAGCAGCGAGAGTGCAAGCTTATAGGATGCGGTGCGCGAAGAGAGGTTATATGTATGTGCAAAGGGAAAGCGTGCGTAGGTTGACGTTGAAGAAGCGTAGAGGGGAGGCTGTTCAGTTGGTCGTGTTCTGTCACAGAAGTTCGAGTCTGGAAGGAGAAGGAGGGGAGCCGGACGGGACGAAGCGCTCGGACTTGTTAATATAAACGAATACACGAGCCGGCCACGCCCTCCGTCATCAAACGCTCTCTCGCGCCGGCTGGGAAAGTATCTGCGCTCGGCTACACACACGAGGCGGGGCGACTTTAGGACAGTGCGGCGTCGGG